TCTTTCTTCGGTAAGACACTTGCTATTTTTGACTGTAACCCGAAATGTGTTTGAGTCCTCCACAAATTCAGCTGAAAACCAAGTTGTCCACAAGGTTTTGCCTTTTTATACTAAAAGGTACTAGCTTGAAGTTACCGTTTACAGAAAATGGAAAAAAACATAAGAGTGCATCCAATGTAATATCTGAAAATTCACAGCATATTGCAGCAATTGTCATTTTATGCAAAGTTACTCATGAGACCTCACAATTTTTCAATTTACTTAATTACAATCTTCGGGAGGAACGTGGATATTGCCGTGAACCATGATTGACCACAGACACTAAAAATTAGTTATCATATTGCACTATAGCAATACCTACACTTGACTATAGTATGCCATGATGCAGTCCCACAGGATATGCAGTAAGATAGCTCTGTGGTAATGGAATCATGTTATATCTCTGTTGTACAGTAAATTATGTTTAAAAATGTAAATCTATACAGTAATGAATTTGAATTGCCTGATATTCCCGGTTTGCACAGTTAACATAGCCTTTAATAGCAGCACAGCTGACACAAACGCTTTCATTCAGTGGCAGGAAATGTGGTTAAATGCGAAACAGGATTAAAGACAGCTTGGATCGTTTGACCCCCCTGTGGTGTCATTAAAATATTTTCCATACAGTGGTTGAACCATTCGTTACAGTGTGATTTATTTTTTTTCCAGTGGAAATGTCTTGCACTTGCACACAGCATTTTTGTTTGCCTTTGAAAGACCGTTGTTAATGGCTGGTGAATAATATGTCTCATTTGTCTTTGTTGAATTGAATAAATACTATCAGGCCTCAGGAATTTATTAATTCTTTAGGGTTCAGATCAAGACCAAGGTTGATCAAGACCAAGTTGGGGAAAGGGGGATTCCATAACCTGAGATTCCTTCTTTGAGTATATTTGCACAGTGTTTTATGCATATATAATTTTTAGGAATTCATATTCTAATAAATCTAATTGATTAATTATACATGTAAAATATTTGTATGTGTTATTTTCCTAAGATGATTCATAATTCCTTTTTAATCAATAAATGAGTTGTTTACAATCGTATACTTTTCCAGAGGGAAGATGACTCACTGTACTTTACTCTGAATTCATATCAGTCTGCTGAAAAAGGAATTAGGTGTCCTCTTACACCCAGAAAGGCCAATGTGTTACTTACTAATCTAGCATCTGTACAATCAGATCAGGAATCACAGAGGAGATCTACTATCACTCAGTGGAAAAACGGAAAAGAGGTTTTTAAACGGAAAAATCTCTAATAGAGACTTTTAGCATTCCTTTCAAATTAAATATTTTTACAAGATTAAAAAGAGTAAAAAATAGTTTGAAATGTCCAAAACCTGCAAGTCCACTCTGTGTCACTGGTAGCCTGTGCAGTTTTCAGAGGATGGGACTTATAGTTTGATGCAGAGTGTTTTCATTTAGCACATGAGCTTCAGCATTCTGGACATGCTAAAGCCTATTTAGCACCGTAGGAGATATCCTAGGAAGTTAATAATCTATAGAATTTACAGTGGTCTAATCCTGATGAGAAAAAGGCATACTATTACCAACATTTCAGCATCAGAGAGCAAGGGCTATGCTGTGCAAGTAGGTAGAAGGTACCCACTTGGGTCCTACTGATACGTCTCCCTACTGTTTCTGAAAAGTCCAGCTCTTTTAAAGAATGAGCCTGATAACAGTTCTAATACATCAGGATATCACCCCTCACACAGGCCTGTGAAGGGCGTTAAAGGTTGTCACATTTGTCTTGTTGGCAAACCTTCTGAGACACACACTGAGGGCCCGGTCACACCCGCCCCTGCCATTCCCAAGGACGGTAGTGTCTTCCTGACAGGTAGGCCGAATTCCTTGTCCGTAGGTGTCGGAATATCATTGCCAGAAGGTTTTCTAATTAATGGATGTTTGTTGCAGTTTCATAAAGATTCAGTCTTTCTTCGGGATAGGAGAAAGGTATGCAGACCTTTTCACTGGGCCTTTGTTGACTCAACTCAAAGAGATGGATTCTTAAAAAAAAAAAGGTTTGAATATGATTGTGGACAAAAAAAAACCTACAGTACTGCCCACAGTAGATCCAGCCAGTGGGAACTTTGATGTTCTTGGGTGCAGAGGCTCGCCATAATGGGGGTAGGTGAATCTGTACCTGTTTTATGGTTAATTTAAAATACAGTAAATAATAAAAGGTGAATCTTTCCCCAGTATGCTGTGCCAGCACTGGGGACCAGAAATTGTACCAACTTTCACATCTTTCCTTGGGAAACATGCTTTAAAAGCCAAATGTTTAGAAATTGAAACCCAGCAGACTTCATTATCATTAATGATAGATTCATCGCTGCCCACAATCTTTTCCACATTACTAGTGAGGGACGGATCAAAAACATCTGTTTGAGTTCACACAGCACCGTCTTTTACTTTCTTTCTTTTAACCAGATAATTCAGTTGATCATTTCTCATTTTCAATGAAGTCCCAGAGAGGCATTCAGGCAGCAAGACATTGATGATAACGGGGGTTTCCTTGTTCAAGGGTACAACTGCAGCTCTCCACCCCAGACACCAAAGAATTTTTTAACTCCATGGGTGGTGTTTACAGCTTCATTAATCCCTCTAGATACTGACAATAAACTCATGACTTCATTACAAAGTACCGGCCCAGTGACTGCTGCATAGGTCACAGAGTGAAAACATTTCTGTGGGACAACAGGTATCAGGAACCATGTTAACCTGAAATTTGCGCTGAATGGCCAGTGTCTCCCTTGTCCTTTTGGGCTTCCTCCTGTTGATCAAAGGTCCTTGTGTAGGCACTTGTTAATTCCCACACAGTTCAGACGTGACATGGAGGAAGTTGAGACAGGTCTAACTGGGCCTCAGGCTGAGAGGGGAGCTCTAGAACACATACACAATGCATCTTTACAGCTGTCTTTCTGCACACAGTCAGTTGGTGAATGAGTCCCAGGCAATTAGCTCTGCCCACACCCAAGACATTGCATGAACCTGTACACCCCTCCCCATCAATAATGAGTCCTGAGCTCTGAATCGATAAGGGCTTCATAGCCTTCACAGCCCCAGTAAGGGGTCACACAGAAGCCACAGCGACAGCAGAAAATGGAGGAGCAGTTAGCTCCACAGCACCCGGGAGGGGACTCAGACACCAGGGGCTCTACAGAGAGCAGCGAAGAAAAGCCCGAGCATTATCTTCCCTACCCCCATAACCGAAGTTCGCGTCCACCGGGACTGGAGAGGATGCCTAACATGGCAACCGAGTTTTTTTTCTTCATTTCTGCTCCCCTGGACACTGGGTTTTTGGTAACTAGGGTCCATGCGGTTCTGGTGCTGGCCTGGCATGTGTGTCCCCTGGAGACACCTTTTGTGAGTTATGTTCTGTTGGGTAGGCCTTGATACAATTTCCCTAATTTCTGGGTAATAAAAAGGGAAATTATGTAGAATGACTGTCTTGTCTTTTCTGAGGGGGGCGCCAGTGGTTCTGGGTGATAAAAAGAACCTGCTGCAGGGAAAAAAAAGGGCCTGGCATCCTTTAAAATAGCTAAATTGATAGAATTGGCATAGTCGGCTTCAAAAGCAGATATTTTTCCTGCATTTAGGGGTCACCCATCTGTGACACATGCAGTACTGTAAATTACAGCTGTGCACCATGAAATTAAAAATCCGCTTACCTGACTGCACATCAACTTACTGTAGTACCGCCGGCACTTTTTTTTAACACACTGCGTCTGTGAAATGCTCGGAATCTAATGAAATTTAGATTCTTAGTACAAATAAAACATTTTCAGAAGATGACAAAGGAAGGTGGGGGGGATAATGATTCATCAAACCTGCACACAAGCGTATAAAATGAAATAGTATCCCAAGTGCGTTCAGAGCCAAGGAGAATGTAGTATTTTTTCAAAGTAACAGGATACACGGTGGTACACGGGGGGGCTCAGTTTTAACAATGCGCTGTGAATGTAAACAGGACTGTATCACATGCGCTATATAACACAGCGTGGAAAATTCCACAAGGCGAGCCGCCTCGCTACTTGACAGCGTTCAACGCGACACCTGGAGGCGCTCCGAGCGACTGCTTTGCATCTCAGTGAAATTAACCGCGACGTGACAGTTTTAATGGGGCCGAGGTTGTTGGGTTTTTTTAGTGACGGGGTAAATGTCGCTTGGTGAAAACCTGTAGCGTGCTAGGAATCCGTGTATTACACACGCACTGACAAATCCTGCGAGACTCAGGCGGAATGGCTTTGACCCAGCAGCAAATTTACCTTCTGAAGAAGCCAGTCATGTTACGATGTCAGCAGGAACAGGTTAAGACTTCAGTCCCAAAATTCTGCAGTATTTTTTTTCCAGTCTAATTCTTTATAATTAAGACAAATAACATCTTTGGGCACGAACTTAATATTTCCATGAGAGTGAGTTTCAAAACACATAAATATGCTTGTAGGTATAATGATAATCGAGTTGATTTGTTTTACATAACATAAAGCTATAGCAAAACACGTGTAAATCACACGTGAATAGTTTTAGAATAAAAAAGCTTTTGACTCGTTGGTGATTATATTTGATTTATCTTGTCACATGGGCTGTAAACCGGTTAGTGTGTCTTCTTACTTCAATCTACAGCACACAGTTGCGTTTCCTGTGAAACAGAAACTTGACCAAATCCTAATACACACTAGCCCAATACCCAATCCTGTACCAGTATTTTTGTTATGCGAGCATGTAATTTTCCATCGAGCATCGCACTCCGTTGCAAGCATACTGTTCGACCTGCGATGCAGAAAGTAATTTTCCACTGTACAGTCTGAGGCGGCGCTTGACTCAGTTTTAAGGAGGTAGTAATTTTCCACTGAACTGGAAAGCCTTACCTGCCCACTACATTTACCAGAAAGCTCTTCGATCACAGCACGGTTGCGTTATAAACTACAGTAACCACAATTCCCTGTGTTTCCCAGCCACCCTACTTCCGTTCATGCGCTCTTGGTTTGACCTACACAGTAACAGGAGAAAATGGCAGCGGCAGGACTGGGGCAGCAGGTAGGACATTGAGAAATGTGGATTAACAGGACAGATAAATTCCTTAGGGACTGTGTTGAGTCCGTTTTCTGTAATCTATGGTGATGATAAATGCATATGGAGAGTGAAAGCAGTGCAGTTATTATTGCATGTGTTCAGATTATATTATAGTGAGACTACCACTATTTTTTATTCAGGCCTTGTGCATATGACAACCCGTGTTTTTACGTGTTAATTTGAGTGTACGGTTTTGTCTCCAGATGGATATACTGCTTCATCTAAAGATCAAACGCATATCACGTTTTGGAATAAACTGCCGAGGGTGTCGGCCTTCTCTGCAGTGCCCTTGTCGAAGAGTAAAGACACCCCCCCACCTAAACCTAGACTAGAGGAACCCCCCTTTCTTACAGCAGTGGTTTCCTGAAATCCTAAGAATTAGATCTCCAAGTTAACGAGTTGTTTTAATTTTTCTTCTTTGCTTTTAATTATAAACGCAAGACCTTGAAAGATTTGATTCTTTGACTGCAGAAGTGGGACAGAAGCCATTTATGTAGGTTTTGTTTTTTCCAGGAAAATGTTTTTTGGCCTTGTGGACATCGCAGGGTTTATTTTATTTTTTTAAATGATGCAGGTAATTCTTAATTTCAAGATCAGACCAGAGGGTGTCGAATAATTTAATAGGTGCTCTAATAGCTCTGTTTCATTCCTGCAGGTGCGCCTCTTCAGCACCACTGTAGTTAAGCCTGTTGCGAAGCTGGTTAAGGTAAGACTAGAGGCACAGTGATCTTAAGGAACATCTTGACAGACTCCCTTGACTGTTGAGTATCTGTGTTGTCTGATAGGACAGAAACACTACTTACTTACCTGACAGAGAGAGTTGGCCTAGACCTCTGTTAAGTCACTTTGCCCAAAGCCACTTCTCACATCATGGAAGTGGATGGAAACTGAATAGAATTCAGAAAATGTTTTCAGTTTTTTTTTTATTATTTATCCCGTGCTTCCACAAGCTGATTAAAGAGCGAGAATGCTGTCTCTGCTGAAAACTAACATTTTCATTGTTTTGGTTTTCACGTTTTAAAAAGTCAACATTTTCACCTGTCAGTTTAAGTAGTCACATGTGGTGTTGTGAGCATTGGATACAATGCTCGACAAAATCACTTTCCCTGAGTCTGACTTCTAAAAGTAATATCACTTTTAATATCTTAAAAGTAAGTTTAAGAGAAACCTCTGAAAATTATGGGCTGCAAAGAGGTCTTCTACGTTTGGTTCTGTAGGGGTGTGGGGACTCTTATGATTTCTTGGCAACCCAGTCAACTGTTTGTCTCCCTTCTGTTCGCTTCTGTTTTCTCTGTCATGTACTCCCTCTTCGTAAATTTCCCAGACATTGTTAGTTATGGGCGGAGCGGTGGCTCTGTGGTTAAGGATCTGCGTCTGTGACTGGAAGGTTGATGGTTCAAATCCCATGGCCGGCAGAGGAATCCTACTCCGTTGGGCCCCTGAGCAAGGCCCTTAACCACAACTGCTCCAGGGGTGCCGTACAATGGCAGACCCTGCGCTCTGACCCCAAGCTTCTCTCCCTGTCTGTGTCTCCTTGGAGAAAAGCTGGGGTATGTGAAAAGATGAATTCCTAATGCAAGAATTTGTATAGGGCTAATAAAGAAACATTATAAAAAACATTATAAACATTACATTATTATAACATTATAGTGTGCTAAGCCTCTGTGAATTCAGGGTTAAGGGCCTGGTCTGCACAGCCCGATCCTTTCAAACCGAAAGCCACCTAAGACACAAACTGAGCATCCCAGATTCAAAGTTCCTGTACTTGTGGAGTGTTCCTTTCTGAGGGCAGCTTGAGCAGTCCGTTTCAAAGGAGGAGGAATAGGGAGTATCCAGACAGCAGCTGACCCGTGTTCCCGTACTGGCGATGCTCTATTGTTTGAACGCCTTCTAGAAAGCCCCCACTGGGCAACACGCAGCTAACGCGGCCTCTTCCTCCAGCCGCCCATCCAAGTGTATGGTGTGGAGGGCCGCTACGCCACTGCCCTGTTCTCTGCCGCCTCCAAGCAGAAGAAGCTGGACCAAGTGGAGAGGGAGCTGGGTCGCGTCGCTGTAAGTCTCCTCTTCTCTTGCGCGCACGAGCAGACAGGACATGTGTGACGCAGACACCAGCAAAGCAGCATTGTATGGTCTGACCTTGTGTGCTGCGCAGGGCCTGATGCAGATGCTCATGTAGCACCCTATTGGCTACGCCAAAGGATATGGAAGGCACTTGGGTACATTTGAAATGATATTATGTTGAGAAGTGCCCTTTTTACAATCATGGGTCATGAAGAGTCCATCAGGCGATCCACAGCGCATGCAGCTGGAGTGTGTGGGAAGCTGCATGAGATGATGGTTTGCTGTAGACTTTGGCTAATGGAAGGAATATATAAAGGAATATTAAAGGATGTGTTATGGATTGTTGGAAGACATGAGTGGAAGGCATTTGATCTAGTTTTTAAACATGTCTTGGGGAAGATGGAAAGACTTAAATCAGTACAGACAGCAGGCTTCAGGAAGGTCAAGGCTGATAAAGTTGGCGGCACACTCCAGAAACAACTGCCTGCCTATGTTTTAATTTGGTTTTCAGTGTGGGGATTTAAATAATTAGGGGAGATGATTCTGGGGGCTCTGTACTCCTGACATTTTTTGCTGGTTTCTTTGAGCTGGGCAACAGATGTTTTTAATTGTAGTGCCTGTGGAGGTGTAAAGCTTATAACAGACACTTGGTTTATCCCGCTTTTGTTTTAAATAATCTGTGATGTAAATAGGATACTGAGGAGATGTGAGTCTGATCTGTTTTTATGGATTGTGAGAACTTTAGATAATGCCTTTGTCACTTTCAGACAGCGTTAACCTACCCATGAAAGCTGCTGGTGACCTATAGTGTTAAAATATTTTACCGGCCTTTTTTTTATTCTTTTTTTTTTATTGAACCGGAAATTATTGGGGAATTTTAAAAAAAATCTATAACAATTTTTCAGCTTTTTGGATTGCTTATTTTTAATCAGGATTGAAAACTAATGGTATGAAAAGGTATTTGCATGTGAACATATTTTTTCAAATACCAGTGCTGAAGTGAAAAGTTTACACAAACATCATTTCAATATTTTTGATGGACATCAGTCCAATGATCTCCTTGATTAAAACCTGTGCCTGTTACAGCATTCTTTAAATTCCATTGTCTACGTGCTTTACTTTTTGGGTATGAAATATACAGTGGCTATTGTGTTACAATAGCTATTACATGGAATTGTAATGTATTTAACTGGGAGTTTTCCTATTGATTGACAGAAAACACTCTAATGTCAAGCGGAAATCAAAATTCAACAGCTCCTCAAATTATTTATAAATATAAAATGGAAAATAACCGATTCCATAAGTATTCACTCCCTTTGAGATAATGTTTGATTAATTACAGCCGTAAATCTTCTTAAATAGGTTTCAACCAGCTTTGCACATTAGGACACTGCAATCTTTGCTGATTCTTGTTGGCAAAATTGCTTAGACTCTCTCGGGTTGGATGGGAACTTTTGGTGACCAGCAATTTTCAACTCCTGCCACAGATTCTTGAGTTCCGGGCTTTGACTGGGTCACTCCAGAACATTGGCTTTTTTTTTTCTTTTTAAACCACTCCAGCATGGCTTTGGCTGTATGTTCTGGGTCATTGTTGCTGCTGGAAGATGAATCTTCTCCCAGCTCCCACGTCTCTTGCGGTTTGCAGCAGGTTTTCCTCCAGGATTTCTATGTACTTTGCTGCTTTCATTTTCCTTCTATCATCACAATCTTTGTCCAGGCCCTGGTGTGGCAAAGCTTCCTCGTAGCATGGTACTGCTGGTGTTCTGAGGATGATGATCACTCTTATGGTTGTGCCCAACTTGACGCTTACCGTTGAACCCAAAAAGGTCAATTTTGATCTTGTCGGACCATAGAATCTGCTTTCACTTGGTCTCGGAGTCCCTCACATGCCCACGTGCCTTCTGGAAAAGTGTAGTCGAGATTCGATGCGAGTTTTTTGTCACTCTACCATACATCCCAGTTATCTCTACCATATCACAGGCAATTGTCATATGCACAGTTTCTCCCATCTCAGCCATGGAAAACTGTAGAACCTTTAGACTTCTCACAGGCTTCCTGATGCACTACCTGACTAGTGCACTTCTTGCCTGGACACCATGTTTTTGAGGACTCAATGTTCTTCACAGTTGTGCAGTTTTATCCACATTTCTTTATAATGGACTTCACTCTGCTTTGGAGGATATTCAGTGCCTTGAATTTCCTTATACCCTCCCCCTGATTGGTGCTGTTTAATAACCCTATCCCAGATTTACTGTGAAACTTCCTTTGTCTTCATTATATTTTTGCTGGGAGCTGTATTAATCAACTGTGGGACCTCCCAGAGATAGGAATAATTATCTTGAACTCATGTGAAACACCCTAATTGCACATAGCTGGACTCCATGTGTGTGAGAATCACTTATTTTCTGTTTTATATTTATATTTAGGATCTATAGAATTTCAGTTTGACATTATGGAGTGTCTTGTGTCGATCAATGGCACAAAATCCCAAACAAATACATTGATTGGAAAAATTCCAAGGGGGTGAAGACTTTTGAGCGCCACTGTATAAAGTAGGTTTTCTAAAATGTGATGGACCATTGCAGGAGTCGAGTACATGCCATTCTAAATTGGGCCCGTACTGTTGTGAATGTTTGTGTGCAGAAGTGTCTTCCATGGATCTGGCTGAATGAGCAGGAGCTCACTGGAGTGATTGAATTGCTTCTCGTTTTCAGACCCTGATCAAAGAGCCCAGGCTGTCGAGTGTGGTGCTAAACCCTCATGTCAAGCGCAGCGTGAAGCAGAAGACCTTCGGTGACGCTCTCACGAAGGAGAACCTCTCCCCCATCACAGTCAACCTGATCAGTAAGGGTGCTGTCCCTGTGTAGAACAAGCACACAGGACTGATGGGGCTCTGCTGCAACTCCCTTTAATTAAGAAAACAAAATATTTCTTTTCCTATAGGACTGGAAGAGAGGGACTTGTCAATAGGTTAATAGGTCTAACAATGAGGTATAAGATGTGATTGTGCGTTATTTTTTCATTTTAATCTTAATACAGCTTTGTTTTGCAAGATAAATGTCTATCGGAAATACACTTAATTTGTATGAATTTTGGATAAGCAGGAAAAACATGAAAAATATAGTGGTAGGTGATGCCATTAACTATGCTTGTATTTACCTCAATAATCTTGACCTGTTGACCTCTTAGCTGTTTTTTATGTAAACTACACCTTGAGCTGTTACACATTAGTAGAAGGATCTACTTTTGGTTCAAATCTGTAATGCTGCTTTACATTAGAACTATGGCTATTGTCCACAGCTTTCAGGCTGGCCGAAGTACTAGAACTAGGTACTAGATGGGACACGCTTCAGTTTTAGCATGCTGAGGCTGATCAACAGTCCTAGCGTGAGGAAGAGACTGCCATTCCTCCCGAAGCGCCTCGGATCGTTCCCATTCAGACACCGCAGTGGTACTGGGGAGAAGACACGTTGGAGGCCGCACTGCTCTGTTAAATGGGTGCCGTTTCACTTCCCCTCTTTCCCAGAGGTGCTGGCTGATAACGGCCGCCTGACACTGACTGCCGATGTGATCTCGGCCTTCGGCAAGATGATGAGCGCGCACCGCGGGGAGGTCCTCTGTTCCGTCACGACAGCGCAGGTAAGGCACAGGCCTCAGGCGACAGGAACCGACATGCACTTCACAGTTTCTAGTAAGTACCAGGATTTTGCCAGGTTGAAATTTTAATGTGCACAAGCGAAGGCTGTTTTTTTCCCTGATGGGAGTACAGATAAAATCCTGTTTTTTTTTTCTCAGTCGTGTGTGTGTCCTTGTTGCTGTAACATTGCCCTGTGAGTTTCCTGTTTTGATTTCAATCCCAGCCCCTGGAAGAAGCCCACCTGACTGAGCTGAAAACTGCTTTGACTGGGTTTCTGCAGAAGGGAGAGACTCTGAAGCTGGAGACCAAGGTGGGTGCTGGACTGCAGGTCCTAATCTGTTGCTTTTGCTTGAACCTTTTCTTGAATAGCCTTTTCTTACTTGAACAGCTTTTACATTTTTATTCAGCTTTAAGTGTGGTGTTACCGATCTTGTAGAATGCCAACATAGTAAAGTAGATACACCTATGTGTTTATAGGAAGTGCGACTAGGGCATTTTCTTTAAAAAAATATCAGTGTTAAAAAATAAAAGATTATTAGTTCTTACGGCATAAGTCAAGTAACTTAATTTTAAGACATGGAGTTTCTGTCCATAAATGCAAAGTTGTTGTATATAAAGAATTATTGATAAAACGGTGCATGGTGTGTTTCTCATGGTGATGTCTAGCGTTAATATTTCATTCAACGGTGAATTTTTCTTATTCAGTGGATTTAGATCATCTTTAAAACGAATCTCAAAGTCTGTGAGGAGGTAGGCTGGGCAGGCTGGTCTGAGGATTTTGAATAATATTTACCCTGTATTCCATCAATGTTTTATTTTTTCTTGTAAGCTTCTGTTAATCTCCTTCCAATGATCACATTCTGATCATATATGTGGTTTCTGATCTAAAACTTTTTTTAATTGGTATTATTTGAGATCTTGCATAAGGTTAGATGATGGATTATCAGGTTCACCTACCTTCTACAGTTGGAAGTGATTTCTGAAGTTGAAGCTACAATTCTGAATGGGATTTAACAAGACGTAGAATCGATCTTTTGAAAATGTAGAACCCCAAGTGTGCATTAAGTGATTCACTGATGACAACCTTTGAGGTTATTTAGTCCACTCGTGAAACAGTTTTTACAAGAGTGAAACTTTCCAGTTTTCTTGTTCCGTTCAAATTTTGAACTTTTAAATTGGTTAGACTTATAGCTGTTGTACGAGCAAGAATGAGATCTTCCAGGCAGTTGAGTAACGGCAAGCACATGATCCCTTCCGCTGAATTCCCCAACAAGGACAACAGAGCCAGAAGCTGGAAATGTGAACTACCTGTTACTGTATCTGTTTTTTGCTTCACGCTATGATTGAAGTGTTTGCCTTGTGTTTTACCTTATAGTCTGACCCTTCCATCTTTGGGGGAATGATCGTCAGCATTGGAGACAAGTATGTGGATATGTCCACGAAAACCAAGATCCAGAAGCTGACTAAAATCATGAAGGAGACCTAGTTCTTCGGACTGCTGGGCAGTTAAACGTGTACTTTTCTGCTTTTCAGCAGTGACCTAGACCTCATCTGCCTGTTATAAACGTGGGTAATAAATGTTCTGTAATACAAACTGTTTTTTGTCTTTGTCCCTCTGTCAAAATGGAGCTTTTGGAGAACTGATCTTGGTAATCTGTTAAAAGGAAAGCCAGGGGTGACCGGTTGTTTCCAAATCTAAGTTCATGAGGGAAAGGGTGTGAGCTGTGTTTGTTACAAAATTTGCTGCTCGATCAGATCATTTTCACATATAGTGGCAAATATGATTGACTAAGAGTCTTCAAAAGAACACACTGACATCTCTTCGGTTCCACTTTAAAGTAATACTGAAGAGCTTTGAAAAGTCTGACTGACTTTTTTGCGCGGTTAATGTGAGGTGAAATCTGCGCCGTTGGTTGGTGAAGTAGGTGAAATATATTGAGCCTAACATGAAACTCAAATTCAGTTCTGTTTTTTTTTGTACTGGTTGTCTTTGTAACCCTTTGCTGCACTTTTCTTTGGGACACAGTCAGCTGCTCAGGTCCAGGTTGTTCTCTTTAGAACATTAGTCAGTGCTCCTACAATGATTGGCACCACAGTCAATAAGTTCCAGTAAATGGGGGGAGGGACAGCCTGAAAGGCAAAGCACACTGTGCTTTGAATTCAGCAGCTGGAGCCTGTGGGCAGTGTGGGTGCAGCTCTACTGCTGCTGGGGTCGATCTCGGGGTGCAGGGCTCGGAGCACGTGCCGCTCTGCTCCCAGGGTGCCTATACAGCGGCAAAAAACTGGGACTTCTGCGACAGGGAGAAGACCTCACTTCTGTAATGAGCTCTTGAACACTGGACCCTGGTGTGACGACCTGTGTCCTCCTTCTGTTGGGAAGGAGAGCTTGGCGTTAACGAAAGAGAGGTTCGTCAGTGCAGTGGAATTGGCACAATGGCAGCTCTTGGATCCAGAGCCTGTTAAAATGTGGTTTGAACTCAGGACCGAGGGCCTGGGATTTTTTGGGAGGTCTTTAAATGCGCTGGAAAAGGGCTGGAAAGGGACCAGGTTTTTAGAGTCTTGTTATATTGTAGTTGAGCAGAGTCTGAAGTGTCTTTAATTTTCGAGAATATTAGTCGGGGGCACGAGCTCATGCATCCCTGAAAATTGGTAACCCCTTTGGACCGCTCCTGTGTCAGAGCAGTACATCAGCCACACAGCCCCAGCCTGGCCAGAAGGCACCCCAACAAAAAAAAAATGCATGTTAAAGAAAGGAAGTCCTTTAATAAGGGTCTCTTGACAGGTTTACATTACAGTACCGCACACTAGGTTTTACATGGCATCGTTATAGAACCAGGGATCAGACACTCTTCGTTATACTATATTAAAAAAAATAAAAGCAATTGCATGCTTTGTGGGTTTTGAAAAAAATGATATTGAGAGCTATTATTATGTACAAACTTCAAATAATACAAACTTGATCTCCCCTGAAGATCAATTTTGAAAAGGAGACATCCCTCTCCAACACCCCTCTTCTCCCACCAAAGAGTACTTCCACAGTTTTCCTCGCCTGTCTTTTTATCATTTTTAAACATTTAAGACAGTACATTCTTACACCATTATATGAATCAATTCTCTGTATACTTTTAGATTTGAATATAACCACATGTAATATGCTTATTCTTTAAATAAAAAAAAACATGATTGGCAACAAAAATTATGTGCACTACTGTGATACAGCACAAACCAGCAAGGGAGTGTCTGAAACTTCGCACTGGGAGAACAAGACTCTACTGTGTTGCCCGTTCCCAGGCTTAACTCGGAGGATTGGGTAATGGAGCAGTTCAACAGAAACTGAAACACTCCACTACAAACTAGTTTGACACAAAAAGTTAGAGCAACGGCGTTTCTGCAAAAGCTGTTGCCATTCACATAAAGCCCTTTCCTTAAGTTCAGAAATGATTTTATACAGAGGCTGAGCCTTAAAACTGGAAGGCCAAGGTTATTCATCACACCAACCTTTTCTTCTGCTCACCAGCAGGTCTCTAGCCCTGGACTTTGAGGTTTAAAAGGTGCTTCAAGACCATGTGAAGCAGACTCGTGGTGCAATCAGATTACTAAACCGTGCTGTCTAGGAACTGTAGGCTCCAGGTAGAAAACTTGACTAGTTTAATTCTACTGGGTCAGCCAAGCTGAACAACAGTGGTGATTCCTCCTTGCAGTGTGGCTCGGGATGCTGAACCAACATTAGGCCCAGCCGTCTTGTCTGCAACGCTGCCCTCAACTGACTGCCTTAACTCACAGCTTTCGTACTAGAAAGTGGATCAGATGGGACGTTTGCTCACAAAGGAAGGCTGGGCATAGAAAAGGCAATGCAGCAAAGGATATCCACAAGAACAAGCCTGCTAAGCACAAGAAGAAGCAAGTGCAGGACACTGAAAGAAACAAGCTGAAATAACAGCTTCTGAAACACCAGTAAGCAAGTCTGAGCTGATTTACCTTAATACTAAGAAATGTCCTAAACATTGTATTTGTAAAAGAAAGGAATAACTCATGTTTGTAGAAAGGATATGGAGCCACTGTGTAAAGAAAGTCTCTTGGTATTAAAAAAAAGAGGCAAATGTTCCCTCAAATTGCTTCTTTTTTTGTAGTGCAATTTAAAGCTTCCTAAGTGTTTGTAATATGTTACAAAAACAGGTCCTCCAGTATTTCATACTGTGTAAGAAAAAAACATTTAAACTGCAGTACTTTTTTCCCTTTGAGGAATAAAAGTTCAGTTCATACTACAGATCACAAATTCAAAAATACTGTTTCTTGGCAAATATATTAAGTCTAATTGTCACAGCAAGACACTGTGACGTCAGACCTCGATTACCTCACCCCGCTGACGAGAATCAAACAAGAGTCGGCGAATCAATGAAGTCAAACAGCTTTGCTGTTTTTATAAAGCTACAGAAATACCTTCTTGTCCAAACAGCACAATCATCCAAAATAAAAAAAAACTTGTGTATAAAAAAATAAACTTAATTTCACATTTTGTCAAAAATAAGTAGATTAACCTGCATTTTTTCTAAAAAAAGACACCCTATAAACATTCCAAAACTCTTATAATTATCCTATTGTAATATTAAATGTCACATTTTACATTATGAGGCTTTCAAATACACACATACATCACATTAAATAAACATTCTAAAATATCCAATTGATCTAAATCAGTATGACTCATGAACAAAGTTATATAATGCTTGTGATTCTAAGTCTTTCTCAAGATTTAAATAACTATCATTTGTCCTTTTTTTGACTTACAAAGCTATCAAAATTAATTCAGTGCTTCAAAATCCACTCTTCTGTCACAATCACATCAGTACCCACTGGTACTTTCAGTAGTAAGCTAGAAGGAAGTTCTAAAAAAGAAAAGGCGCAATGTTATACAATATATATATCATTATACAAGTAACAATTTAGATTCATTCAGAATGCCTTCATTGACATTTACAGTAAAGAAAAATAAGTGCCAAATGACAGATGGATATTCAAATGTTTCTTACAAGCTTTCTGAGAAATTTTGGGAAGCATTCATTCAAACTGAACTGCCAGGTTTCATTAAAATCAAATGCCTCACAAAAGTGTATTTGTGTTGTTTTTGTGTTACTTCAGGTGTGAAACTAAATGAAAAGTATACATATTTTAAAATACAAGACATTTTGTGTTGTTTTATCTGTTACGCAAATAATAATCAATGTAATAAAAATAAGAAACACCCTGCAGACTTCAAATTCCATTACAACATCCATTTGAATAGTTTCTTGAAATGAGGTAAAATGATATCTTTCTTTAAATAAATATTTTAGCAATTGATAATGATTTTCTGGAGTGTCTTGTCACATTTTTATTCCTATCGTTACTGAACCTAAGACAAAATATGTCATCATTAGTTTACCACAGAACAAAATTGCAGCTTTCTGAGCCTCAGCTTCAAACCTAAGCAGAGGACTTAACACCAAACCAAAGATTTAAATGATTCTAAATAGTACTACTGAAAGGAGTTCCACATGAAAAAGGCAGAGGGAGTGATGGCAGGCATGATAGACCAGCAACCTAGCACTAAGAAAAGCTAGGATTGATGTTAAACCTAATAACATTTATAAACCAAGTCTAAACACAGTAGCAACACAGACATTCTAGTCTGACTGCTGATTCCCACTGTGTGGAATCCAACCCCAGTGGAATGCTATACAGGGAATTGAGGCAGTATAAGCAAATCACTAGTGGTGATTTTCCCCAAACCTATTTGTTTATAACAGCAAATAACTATGCATGAATTGGATGTGACATCATGTCTTCTAAAAAATCAGAAATTCAAAACATAGGAATTTATATAAGGTAAAAGCACATGGCAATGTTCAAGTTCTTTAAGTATCTGCTGTGGAATACTTTCAGTTTCAATGGAATCAAGACTGAAATCTACATATATGCAGCTAATCATACCAACCCCCCCCAAAATCCATGTTCCTTTCTGTAAGTACTGTACCTACGCCTTCATTTTTCAGAATAAAAGTAGTCTTTATGTATTAGCCTTCAACAGGAATTGTCACCTTTCCTCTAAATTTTGCTGACCCTTGAAAAAAAATAAGCCCAAAACACACAATCTAGTCATTATCTAGTCATGCACCAGTGTCCTTTTCTGTTGCTTTGATAAAAGCATTTCTTTGTTTCTAAAAAAAGAAAGAAAATATTCAGTGCCGTCTTTCCTTTAACATTGCTGAGACCACATGTTTCCACACAAATATGTATAGTGTTTTTGTGCGGCAGTGCAGATCAAAGGACCCCAAGAGCAGAACAGAGACGCATCAACAGATGCGAAAGGCCTTGCTGTAGAACCTCTGGACCCTCATTGATGGGCACCTCTAATTCACCTGAATCTCTTTCCTGCACAAGTACCCTGCATCAATCAATACCTTCATGCAATAAATAAATATTTCAATAAATACATTTAGGATTAGGACTACAGTCTCGTTAACACATAAATGAATTTTGCCAGGTGACGTGTGATGACAGCAGATAGTTTAAAACATTGTGGTAAAATATAATTACACCCTTATTTCTTAAAAATACTCCTTGTTCATACTCTAAGCTCTAATGTCTTTCTGCTGACTATGTACCTTGTAACATTCTGTAATAATCTTTTTTAGTTCCCTGCAATTCACACAATTCATGAGAGATAACCAAATATGAATGTGACAGAAACAAATGGTAAAAACGTTCTTAAGACTAATAAAGATTATATAATATGTGAAATAAAAAACTCAGATGAAATTGTTTTCTTTTTTGTGTGTGGTACACATTGAAAAGTGGACTGTTGTGGGGTTTTACAGTTCTTCACTAATAGGAAAAGCCTACGTGTTTTTTCTTCATTCTTCATAACATAAACCAATGTGTGTTTTATAGCAATTTGCTCCAAATCTTCATGTTGCAGTTAAGAAGTGATTGCTCATGCTTTGTTGAGGTCACGCTAATGACTTGCAGTCCAAAAAAAGCCTGAGCTAACAGAAGGATGTCTGATCCTCGTGTGAAGCAAAGATCACGCACAAAATATATATATATAAAAAAGAAAAATGTAAAAAAAAAACATCCTATCTCACACAAGAACTGAACAGCTTTTGCAGATACACACACATTGCAAACTACGACACTAGACCTTGGAATTCAAAAACAAAGCTGTTCCTATAGTTCATCAAACAGTTGTAGATCCAACCGTACTACAATCTCTCCCGTGGGGACTTCATGCAGAAGAAGCCTCTTAGTGATTGGTCCCTTTGAACCCTGGTCTTTCTTGATATCAGCCGCCCGGATTTCTGTCCTGCCCAAGAAGTCTGCAACACAGAAGGGGTATTGGGTGAGAGCAGTGCTTTCCCTTCTCTCCCTGGTCAATAGCCAGTCCGAGATCCTCAGGGAAGCTTGGAAAAAAGGGTATCGATGACAGAACACCAGTGTGTTTAAAATCAGTGCCATTTCTGTTCTAATCTAATCTAAAAGTGTAGAGACCTTTGTTTTGTATTCTTTTCAGTGTGATGTTTCTGTCGACCATGGACAAAGAAAAGTTCTTTTAAAAGGAGTGGAATGGCTGTGGGCTAAAATATGAAAGCTAGGTCTCTTTTGGCAGCACACAGGATGTATTCACATCAACAACTTGTCCAAGATGCTGTAGGATCCAGAAACCCCTGAGCCCACACGTGCTACAGACCAGAGGTCATGTGTGTAGAGTATGCCGTCTGTAAACAGATAGTTCTGAAGCCGGCACAGTGCTAGAAAGCAGTTGGACTTTCTTACCGTCAGGGGAGAACTGATCTCGTTCGAACACGGTAACACACAGCACATCCTGCTCCAGGTCCTTGATGAAGAACTGGCAGTTGGAGTTCCACTTGGGGTTCAGCGTGTCCTGCATTGTCTTGGTGATGTGGCACTGGGAGCCCATGGTCACCTCACAGTATGGGTTGCTCTTCCCTGTGGGCAGAAGAGACCAGTCAGGACAGGCTTCTCCACACAAGATACCAGCAACAGCTCCAGAGGTGGCATTTTTCACATCTGTGTTTTCTCTTGGGGGGGAAACAATATCTCCTCAATGCCTTTGTCCAAGACGACTCATGATAAGATGATGAGAACAGAGTTATTTAAAAATAAGGGAATGTTAAAATCTATTTAAAAAAGCTACTCTGAAGTAGGCCTCAATTAGACATTGCAGCTTCTAGTAGAAAAGCAAAATGATGGGCTAAATATATGTAAACTCTGTTGTGGAGAATCCTCCACCCTCACCAAAACCAGATATATTGTACGTAATCTTACCATGTGACCTGCAGGGCTTTAGTTCAATACCTTCCACAATATTCACCATCAGTCGACCGATTCCTGTGGCCCTCTGGGAACGCACTGCGTACAACAATAACAGCGGTGAGAAATCTAATGATTTTTTGTAACAGCGTATACATGAATTAATTCCAACAGCAAATCACAACATTTCACACAAAGGTCCAATAACAAAAGGGTACCTCACAACCCTTAATAACATCTCTGCTGAATTCTGGGAATCATCAGCTGTCCAGGCCAACCACTGAGAGGCACTGAGAACTCCCAGGCACTCCAGCCTGTAGTGACTCTGAAACCCTGTGAAGGGAGCTGAGCGTGCTGTCTGTGTGCTCTGATTGGACTCACCCAGGTAAGCCTTTTCCCTCTTCCTTTTCTCTGTTTCAATGTAGAGCTCAGAGGCAGCTTTTATTTTCTGTACCCAGGCTGTTCTGTAGACACATGAACAGAAAAGATTAGATCTTGCTGGAAATCCTTACTATGTCCAATTCATCCACAGCTTAATAAGACGTGGTCTTATTTTTGAAAATGACAAAGATCCAACTTGTAATACTCGCTCTCGGGTAAGTGCTGTTTCCTGCACTCATAACATCACGGCTGGTGTTACTATCAATCTTCCTATCTGCATTCCCTGGCAACACGATCAGGCAGATTATCTAGACCACCTGCATGTAATTAAACAGCACTTATTTTCTTTTCCGCAGGGTATTTAAACCAGTATCTCCCTGATCAGTCTTAGTGCTTGCTCCTAAATCTTAGCACTTGTTTCTCTCTTGTTTTGAAACTTCTCGGGCTTCACTCACTGGACCACATCCCTGCTTTTATTTCCTCTACAGGTGAAAAACATATGCCAGATATTGAGATGTTTATCAACATCCAAGTGCTAAATATGCTGTTTCATGTGCAGTATAAAGTCACCTGCAGAGTGTCCACTGTACAAAAGCATACCTTTCGTTGATGCTCTCTGCTCGCAGCGTGTACACTCTGTCGATGTGTGAGATGTGAAATATGGGCTCATCTCCAGAGGGGTCTGTGGGCAGCTTCACCAGCACTTCGTTCAGAAATATTGGCTGTGAAACCAACACAGGATATACTGAGTAAATTTTCTGTATGTGAACTCCAAGTACTTGTAGTACCTCTGGGGTTTTCATTGATCTGAAGCTAAAATCTCTTGAACCTCAACAGCCGTACCAAATACAAACAGAAAATCATTAAAAGAAAGTCTGGGACAAACTTTCCCAAACAAAGTGGTGAAGAAATAGGTGGTGGTATACTTTTTCTACAATGCTGGGCCTTTGGCCAACCAGTCGGACGAGGGACTCACACTCTTGTACATCTTGTACTGCAGGTTGGACTTGGGGCTGAAGACCTTGTCAGACCCAGAGGAGCCCAGCGGTTTGATGGTCTGCGTGAGCAGCAGGAAGTCGTTGAAGAGGAAGCCATACAGCTCCTTGTTGCTCTTGGCCTTGTAGAGCTTCCCACTGTGAAGGAACTTGCGTGGCCCCAGGCAGTTCGTCACGGAGTTGAACACCAGTTGCTTCACGACAAAAGGGAACAGGTGAGCTTTTCTGAAGGGGGAATAAACTCCAAAGAAGTATTTTTCTTCACTAACCTACAAAAAATTTAAAACCTGTTTCTACATGAAATCTCTTCCAGAAGACTGGTTTAATGAGCACACAGTTGGCATGAAAACCAGAAAACACAGGGTTTGTCCGGGATCAGTGGGGAAGTACAAAATTATATGCCTGTTTTTATTAACTCCATATAATAACAAAAGCTTATAGTATGATTTATTTATTCCTGAATACTTTAAATATAGCTGTTTATCACCATGCCAAAGAATTAGATAAAATAATTCAGTGAACAGTGCCTACAGATGCCAGCAGTCCTGCCTACCCAGGCCCCTGCCCTAGCAGGCTGTGAACATTACCTCAGACAGGCCCTCGCACTGCACATGGGCCTGGATCCACTCCAGGCGGTCCGAGTTCTCCTTCTCCCTCACGCCTTCGTTCACCTGCGAGCACAGCTCCTCCGCCTTCTCCTGCGCCTGCTTCAGGTGGCTGTGGTCCGGATGATTCTCCGGAGTGTTCTCCAGGATCTGGGTCAAAACACCGCCTGTCACTGTAGGCAAGCGCGAAACCCTGGACTTTGTACCCCTGTCAACTCTAGTGCCTGTCCTTTCATACAGTCACCCAGCAAGCTCTGGCGGTCTCTGTGTGACATTTCCCCATGGGTGAAGAACTCCAGGGAAATGGAGTACAACCCAACGGTCGTTAGGGAAGCACAGTCAAATCGGCCACGATGAGTCTGTGCTCTTATGACGCAAGGAGGCAGCTGGGACAGCCTTGCTTTCTGGCCCATCAGATTAGGGAGGCAAGTAATCACAGACCAGTGGTTATTGTTTGTATCACTTGCCCTTGGGAAAGTCTATACTTGTACAGTTTTCCCATGGTTACATCACTGTCATGTCACATTAAGACGAGGATGGAAGAATAAATAAGGCTTCACTGAAAAGGATGAAGGAGGCTGAGAAAGTTTATGGCAAACGTTTAGAGGGAGAATGATCCTGCAAGACGGTGCCATGTTTGTCTCTTAGAATTACAGAGTAGGTGGAACATTTTACTGGTCTGTGTAAAGCAAGGGGGATCTGGGTATAAAAGAGAGGCCCTTGTTTGAGACAGGGGGAGAGCTACCTGTCAGGTGTGTTATACTGTTGCTCCCTTGCACGAACGCCCCTTCAGTGTGACACTCTGTCCTGATGAGCCATATTTCATTAGCTTAATGACAGAAAGGGTAGTGGATATCTCTGTGTATGTTAAATAATGGTGTTATTGGACCGCCTGTGTGTCTGCTCAGAGATGCAGGCTGTGAAAACAGTTCCCCACAGACTGTACAAAACTGATCATACCTCTCCACCAGCTTTTACTGGGATTTCA